TGTTGTTTTAGCATACAAAAAAAAAAAAAGGATTCCCGATCCAGACTAAGCTTTTGATGGGCCAAACCTATCAAAAGTAAGCAAACTTCAAGTGGAAGAAACATCATTGCAATGCGTAACTCACTTAAAACCTTTTGTTTTTTTTTTTCAAGTCAAACTTAATTAAACCACCAAAACAAGACAAGAAACTCCAGGCAACAGCCAGAGTATTACACCTAATACAATATAGTGAGCCACTCACTTGAGCAACTAACTAATTTAAACCCTCATGTTGCTTAGCTCATTATAGGGGATTGTAAGCCTTTTGTTTTTCTTAAAAAAATTTCAGTTCTTTTGCTGTCCATAAATTATCCTGCTCTTGCCCAGACAAAATTTAGTAACTTCAAACTCCAGCATGCCTTTTGATTTTTAATGATGCAACGTAGTCAGGCGCTCACTTTCAAAGAATAAAGACAACCGTATAGAGTGTGGATAGCATGGCTATTTTTCACCTTAAGGACAGAACATTAAGTCAGCACCTAAAGCAATATGTTTATTGTACTTCATGTTTATTCTTCTTCTTTTTCAGAAATTGTTTATTCTTCTTTCTTGTCCAGGTTCTGCAACTAATTAGGTTACTAGTGGACCAGGCTTGGGCATGGCTTGATACCAGGCTCGAGTGGACTTGTTCATTTGATAAAGGAATTGAGCCAAAGCCTTCTTCTAATGCTCATTTAACAAGCTAACCTAAAAAAACTCAAACTCGGTAGTTGGACTCGTGAACATGCAGGTTTAAAGGGGCAAGGGCTAATATGTAATTTTGCCAAAAGTGTGATTTCCTTAGATTTAAGAAATTAAAGCTCAGTCCGGTGCTTGTATTGACAAAATAATGATGTTATTAAAGAAAAAAGAGTAAAAAAATTCTGATCCTATGTGACAGGTCACGAGATTCACTTTTTGTCTTACACCTAAAACTTCTAATTAACAAAGGGATGAGGGTGTCCACAAAAAAGTGCAACTGATGCTTTTTATGCCAAACCAAGCTTGGCTCATCAAAAGGCCAAGTAGGTGCTGAACCAAGATCAATCGTAGGGAGTCTAAGCTCAGGTAAGCATTGAAGGAACTAGGAATTTATTTCAGGGAAGCATATTGAACTTGATTTTTTTTCCCAACTAACAATGCAGCATGACAAGCCGAAAAATATAAGTGTAGTAATGGTCAATAATCAAGAGTCAATTAGTATGTAGTAATTCAAAAAAAAAATAATAATAATGTAAAAAAAATTCAGAAACATAAAATACAGTCTTAAAAAGTCCGTCAAACAACAGTTTTCATTTTGCATTTTTGATTTCATATGAGGCAGAAATAATACTTTTTTGTTGTGGTGTGATTTATCCAAAACAAAAACATGTTTAGTAACAAATTTGTTGCACAATGTTTCATATAAACAATGTTTCAATGACTTTATAAAAATGGTAAAAATTATATAGGTTTTTTAAAAAAAAAATTCTCGTTGCAATTTCTCAACTACAATAGCAAAAACAAGTGAGCATGACTTTCTTTTTTATTTGGGTCTTTAAAAATAAATTTAAATTAAAATTAAAATAAAATAAAAAAAAAAAAAGAACAGACAATATTGTGCAAAATGTAACAAACATGTTTCTGCAACTTGTTTGTCCTTTTCACCAATTTGGCAATAAAAAAAACACAAAACAATGGTTGCCAAACAGGCCCGAAGTGTATGAAATTTTATCAATAAATTTAAAGATGATCGAGAGAGAAAAAAAAAATAATAATAAATAAATGAATAAGAACAGGGAAAAGAAGTTTACTGCACATATAACATACATGAGTGCAAGGAGAAGAAAATAAAATAAAAAGGGAAAAATTGAGAGAACTTTGAGGGGGGGATTAGTGTTTGGTTGAAGAAAGGGAATGAAAATTTTGTTTTGAAGAGAATAAAAAAAATGAAGAAGAAGACTCAGAAGGAAAAGAACGAAAGAATTAGTGAGACTTTTATAAAATGATAATTTAGGGGGGCATTTTATAAAATTTTACAAAATTATATGTATAATGATAAAAATAATAATTAATAATGAATAATTATTAAGGAGGCAGCAGCTGGGGTGGGGGGAGCTCATGCTGGCACCACCACTGCAGGTAAGCCAAAGTGAGGTAGGAACAGTTAATGTTTCAGCCAAACCAAACTCAGCTCAAATCAATGTAGATAAATTTTGTAGCTTTTATCTCAGCCTACAATCATGGAGTTTAACCATAATTGAGTTGGTTAGGCTAGGTCAGATTATCGAGGTGCTTGTAACAGGACCTTTACAGAATAATAATCTTTCCCAGTTATATAGAGATATGAATACTTCCTATATACATCACAAATATGCAGAGGAGTTGAGGTGTAATAAATGTCACGGAGTCACACTTGAACTAGAAATGTGAACCAAATAGGGCTGCAAATTAACCAAGCCAAGTCGAGCTCGAGTCCATTCAGGCTTGGCTCGTTCGTTTGTGGGCTCAGCTCGGGATCGTGGCCAACTCGAAAAGCTGAGCTCGGGCTCGTCACTATTTTGAAAAGCTCGGGCTCTACTAGTTTAATAATAAAAGTCGTTTGGGCTCAATTTGAGTTCGTATTCAAGATCATTTTAGTTTGTTCATAAACTTATACAAGCCTATGCACATATTCATGAGCTTACGTTCATTAACCTATACAATCCGATGTTTATGAAGGTGTTCATGAGCCTATGCGAGCCTATGTTCACGAACATATACGAGCCTACACGAACTTATGTTCACTAGACTACACCAGTTGAACCCAATATATTTTAGGATCGGCTCGTTTACTAAATGAGCATAGAAATCAAGCTCGAGCTTGGTTTGTTTGCTTAACGAACAAGCCCAAGCTATTCACGGCTCATTTGCAGCCCTAGAACCAAATAGGACCGGAACATTTTGATCTCACTAGATATGTACTTATATTACAATATACAATGATGCCAAAAAGCATTAAATACACTATAATTTAGCCTCAATTATTTACAATATGCAAAAACCTCCAAATAAATGGATTAAAAAGTTTAAGCAAATATCATCTATGTTAAAAGGTACAAGGGCAACTTCATAACCATTTCAACGACAGAAGTAGGTGATCCACATATCAAAAGATTCTTCGCATCAGATATCCTAATCCACAAAAGCTTATCCTCAGATATTTTATAATGTATATACAAGGAAACCTAAATAAAAATGAGTACAGAAAACAACATCCAGTGGTAAAAAGAAGAGGAACAGCCTCTTGATGGCCTTAACAAACGGAAATAGCAAGAAAGAAAACTAGGAATCTACATGTTGATTTCATTCACGGAATTAAAACTATAAAAAATAAAAAAAGACAAACCTGGTGAGCAAACAATGAATGGTGATATACATCCCATAACCATTGCCGGAGGTGTTGTGACCATGCAGTAATGTATATCTTGCTATCTACAGCATTAAAAGACATGTTCACCAGGGTCCAATACGATTGCATCAATTATTGATAGGGAAATACGATATTTCTCGACAGTTTCCCCCTACATAAGCTCCAAACCTAACAATGTACACCAGAATAACAACTAATATGCATTACTTACATTTACGGAATGCATCATAAAATAAAACATATTAAATGGACATTGATGCACAAACATCAAACAAGGTAACATATTCAGCATAGGTACTATAATCTAATCCCTAGCAAAAATTTGCTGAGAATTATTTGTTTCTGCTCAGTGGAGATGAAACTCCTATGATCATAAAGAAATTGTATTAGTTAAGGGTCCATTACTTTAAGCAATTAAAAGACCCAATAGAAGGGCGATTAGGAAAAAGGCCAATGGAGTTTAGATAGAAAGAAAGAAAGTGAGAGAATTAAATGCATAGGAGAGGAAGAGATAAGGTTTCATCCTTTCAGGGAAAAGGCCAGAGAAGTGGCACAATTATTGTCTTTATTAGTATTATCCATATAAACTGAACAACAACATTACCATTAATGTATGAGCTTAAAGTTACAATGATTAAAAGCAATGGCCTCCAATATTTCCAGTTTTGCAGTTTTTATTTAAACGTCAGCCACGCAGCTTGTCTTCATGATCAGCAGCCATAACATGACACTATTTGCATCATTAAAATAAATATATAAAATAAAATAGAAAGAAGGAGGAGAGAAAATAAAATAGTACAGAACATGACAAACCTTGCAAGTCCAATCATCAGAAGAAGACAATATGATTACACTACTGTCATTACATCCTCCATAACCTGTAATGATAGCCACAAGCAATCTGTTACGAAAGATATGATTTAGAGGCTTGAACTTTGAAATAAGCAAAGGAATATACCACAGATGAGTATATATTCATCCAGGTGTTTTGGTTCCTGCTTCAGCAGATCATCAAAAACCCTACTTAAGATGTAATTTTACTCCATAACAGTTTCCATCAAACAACATGTTAGAAGACAGTACAGGGAACGGGATAGATAAGTATGTGACAAGTGATCACCAGACTAACACATCCATTCTCATCCCCATAAATCAATAAATATTGGTCATTACACAACAATAAGCAAGTAATAGCCCAAGTAATGAGCATGCCTCTTCTTAAGCATCATCTGAAATGTCTTATCAATATAGACAACTCAACAAATGCATCAGAGATATCATAAAGAAGAATTCCCAATTCCCTTGATTCCAATTGCTAGAATTGTACCAATAAAAAATAAAAATTAAAAAAAAAAAAAAAAAAAAAAAAAAAAAACGATACCAAATTATCTTCTAAAGCATTGATTTAAGTAGCTAAGTTGCTCCAACAGTAACACGAACTTATATAAATTTTTCCCCCTCAATTTAGAATAAATTTTTTTCCCCTCAAAGAACAACCATTTCAGATTCAAATAGAACATACTGTAGTTAATAGCATATGTGCATGTAGTCTCTATCTCTATCTCAATATACACACACAAACACAGAGAGAGAGTGTAACAGATACAAAATTATTAGAGTGAAAGTGACCTGTTATAACATAAAGCATAGTATAAAATTACTATATACAATGTTTGTTAGAGAGAGAGAGGGTGACACTTTCCCAGGAGTAGTAGAGGAGGAGGAAGAGGAGTGACGGAGTTGATCGGAATCATAGCCGGAAATTAGCGCTACATTAATCTACGGTAGTCAAGCTCTGGTCGGAGGTTTGATGAGGTTTGTGAGAGCGTCCGGTCCTCGCATTCGAATCGCAGCCTTGTCATAAACCAAGGCGGCCTCTTCGGCAGTGTCGTAGGTCCCTAACCAAACCCTAGCTCGCCGCAACGGATCTCGAATCTCCGCCGCAAATCTTCCCCACGGCCGCCGCCGAACGCCGCGAAACTTTTTGTCGCCATTTGCCAAACACTTGTCGATTGACCTCTTGGGAGAGTTCGTACTGATCACCTCCGCACTTCCATTGCGATTTTCATTCGCTGTTTGGTTGCAACGAGTTTGAATTCTAACCTCAGCAACATGCTTCTTTACTCTGCTAGTATTATCTTCTTCGTCGCTCGATGAGTCGGTCGCGTCGCCGTCGGCGACAAATATCCGAACAACACGAGGCATTTCGACACTCATCCCAGTCAAGAACCGCTTGACATAGGTAATGTTCCGGTGGACACTGTATTTGCCCGTTTTGAAGCTGTCGCCTCGGGGCGTGGGGAAAAATATACTAGATCCTATTTCATTTTATATTAGGGTCCGTATAGAAATGCATGATGCACAGTGAAAGTTAAAGAATGTGAAGTTAAAGGAAAGTTTGAAATTTTTTTTTTTTTTTTTTTCTAAAGTTGTGGAAAAATATTATTTCGTTAGTTTGGTAGTATGAAAGAGAAAAAAATAATAATTTATTTATCAGAACTATCTCATGATTTTAAATATTTAAAAATAAATTAATTTTATATTAGATAAATTCTCTTTATACCAAATTATTTATGTTAATTTTTAATAAATAATTTGTAAAACGATGGGTTATTAATAATAATAATTATTATTTATATTCATATTTAAATTGGAACAAACTAGAAAGGACTAGATTTTAATTATCAAATTCTTTTTATTTTGTATTTTCAATAATAATTATTTATATCGTACGTAAAATGTAGTTCATTTATCATAATATATTCATATTTTTATTGAAATATTAAATATATATATATATATATATATATATATATATATATATATATATTAAGCCCTTTAAATAAACACTCTAGGATAGAAATTGTCATACTAAAGTAACATATTTTATAGTTAATGCATACTAATCATTTGGTTCATGCATAATTTAGCAATTTGCTTTCATATTTTATGAATATGAACCAATGCAAATTTTCTTTACAAAAATCACATATAGCTCGAATATAGAACTCTATTCAGTTTCAAAGTTGAATAGATAATAAAAAGTAAATATTATATTGATTTTCATCCATATGGGGTAGTTTTGTCATATACATAATATGATGACTCCAATTTACCTCTTTTCATATTTTTATTGAGATATTAATAAAAATTAAAAGTGATATCATTCCACTCTTCAATTCTTAATTTATTTTTAAAAAATGTAGGTAAGGAAAGTATTGGATATGATGAATACAAATTATGTGTAACAATAGATGTAGCAGAAAGGATTTGAAAGTATGAATTTAATAACCAATTGGAGAAACAACTCAATGTGGGAATCACTTTCTCCAAAATTTTCTGGTTTTTAGATAACCAAACTATATATATATATATATAGATAGATAGATAGAGATAGAGATATTTAGTAACAGCTAACGAAGGGTATTCAATAACTTCTTGTGTTTGTCTTGGAAACGCAAATATAGATATGATACAATGATATAACAAATTTCGAATAAACATGATACAAGTATGAGTAGAATACGATAATAAAAAATAAAAAATTATATATTTATATATATATAATAAGTTTTTGATAAGCTTTTAAAACATCATGAATACAAATGTCGTCACTAATATAACATAAGAATTTGTTTCACAAAATATAAAATAAGGATATTTTTTGAACTTTTCTTAATAATTATACTATAATATTATTGTTGAAAAAGTTAAATTTTGAGTTCAAAACTTATTAAAAATATGTTTTGAAGTATTTAAAAATTATCAAATACTTCAAAGTTTTCGAGAATTATAGAATATATGGTTGAAATATCTAAAAAGTATCGGATATGTTTTAAAAATTAAAAAATATAATTTAAAATAATTGATAAGTTTAAGAAGTATTGAACACATATATGTAAATATTTGTGCAGCGATATCTGATATGAACACAATATGGGTATGTTGACCTTCTAAAAGTATTAGGGTTTCCTAGCGCGTTGGAATGGCAAGAAACCCGGCCCATTCAGTTAATTTTTCTTTTTTATTTTTCTTATGATAATTTTTAATTTTAACATCTTTGTTATCATGATTGTTAAATATTTGACCATAGTTTTTCTTAAATTTGAATTGTTTTTCTTAAATTATCCCGATTCCAATACAAGGCACCTCGAAGGAACCTAACACTGGGATGAGATCATGCAACCTAGCTTTTCAATACAAAAGAAATCATTTAGAGCTTGGATTTCTAGCCCATTTTATTTTTGGTATCTCAACCGCAGAATTTTTTGTTTTTGTATTTTCGAAATATGAGTGTGTGACTTGTTATCGGATTTGGAGAAAGATTTTCATTAGTATAATGGGTTTCGAAAATGGATGACCCGCCCTGAATCCGCCCAGTTGACATTAATTCAGATTTAGCAAAGCTAATATGATTTGGTTTGAAAGACTGTTTATTTGATCGATTTCAAAGGCATTTTAAATTTGAGTGGAAAATTAGGAGAAAAACAATTAGGTGGGAGTTTAAACACGACGAGGTGGGATAAACTTGAAAAGGAGCAAAGACCTTACATGCTTGCTAACTCTGACGAGCCAGATAGATGAAAATAGAATTAGGGTTAAGAAAGGGGGAAAAAATAACACCCAAAGACAATCGGAAAAAAAAAAAAAATAAAAAGGAAGAAATTGTTTAATGTGTAAAAAAGTTCTCAATATTGTAGGTGAATAAATTTTTACCTAACTCATCAGTTTTAGTCGGGTGTAAGATAGACACAATGTTAGTTGCACTATGCCTAAAGGTTTTGGAAGTTTAACTTTAAAATGATAACCTAGAAGCGTTTTGTTGCGCTATGCGAAAAGTTTTTGAAAGTTGAACTTTAAAATAATAATCTAGAGGGGTATAATACGTTCTTTTATTCGATTTTTAGATTATTATAATTCCAAATAGGCTAATTTGTATTAAAATTGTTCTATCGTCTACACATGATGAAGCCTGAAAAAAAAAAGAAAAAAAAAAAGGAAAAACTAGCTATAGAATGTAAGATGTATTTTTATAACAAGTGAAGAAAAGGAAACATTATTTTGTACACAAAGATTTTAGGATTATTTTCTCCATTCAAACGAATTTTGGTAGCTCAATAAAATAACACATAGAAATGTGATGGTTGGTGCGTAAACTTACCTAAAGAGCGAAATCATTTGAAGCGTTTACTATCGTAAAACATTTTCTATTTATGCTTTTGCAAGAAATAAAAATATAATTTTATTTTTTCTTAGTGAAAACAGAAAATGGGAACGGCGTTTATTAAAACCATTTCGTTGTCACAATTTTGAAAGAAAAAACAGAAACCAACTTTTAGTAACATATTTGTTAAATATTTTTTTCCTATTTTATTTTGGATTTTTCTATTAAAAGTTTACCTTCAAATCCTAATAGTTCATGGTTTACTTAATAAGCAGAAGTTGAAGTAATACGTGAAATACATTTAGAGAAGAAAAAAAAAATACAATATCAAATTTAAAGTAACACATTTTAACCATACCAAATATACATCAGGAACTCCTTCTTCTTCAAGTATGACATTCTCATTTTCATATTCATCAAATAATATTGAAGTGATTTCGAGTAATTATAAAGTAGTGATCTCTTGCTCACCATGAAATAAGAAATTTTCTACACATCTACTATTGGATTAAATCCAACCGTAAAATTACAAACTTACCTTTCTATCTTCCTAATCGAGAAAAAAATACTTTTCTACCCATTTAGAGTTTCCTAAACACTTTTCTCCCTATTTAAAGTTTACTAAATTGATATTATCAAAAAAAAATCCTAGTATAAATTAATATTTCAATTTTAGAAACTTTTGAGACCCATTCAAATTTTGATAAAATATTATTATCAATGAGAATTAAAATATTGTTTCATGCTTTTCATATTCGGGAATTAAAATTAATTCACTATACATTTAGATGGTTGTCACATGCTTTATCAAGAGGAACAATCTAACCACTTGAATTGATGATCACTTTGTGGCAAACAACCAAAACTATTTCTGAACCACCATTATAATAGACCATTAGACTGCCATCAGGAAGCTCAAGGAACATGCCCATACGCGACTCCTTCATTCAGTCAGGACTCCAAACTGAAATCTCTTTTTTAGTTTCTATCCAAATATTATAAACTATAATTATTTGTGTTAAACCATTCATCACAAATAAGCATGAATCTCATAATCTTAGAACTTCATGATTTTCACATATCTATAATGCATAAATAAATAGTTAGATATAAATACCTCGATTCATAATATCAAACCTTGTTGAGATTAAATCCAACTTCTAGATCCTTTAACCACGAACTAATCTGCAATTCTGATCAATAGGCAAGGGTGGAAACTGGTTTCTCTCTCTTGGCCTTTTGCACACATAAAACTTTTACGTGTTGTATCATTAATTGTACATAATTGATGGAGTATATGCACTTTTATAAAGGCAGAGAGAGGACCAGTAAGGAATAAGAAAAGAAAACACTTCTCCAATAAGTAATTACCAAAAAGGTAATTATAAGTTGACCAAAAGTAAATAATATTAATTGATATCTATTTACTTACCCACCAAGTAATATGTCACATGTCCAAATCATGTTGATCACAATTAAATAAATAATCTTACATTCTCCCACTTAGCACATATGATAAGTTCTGTAGTGATTTAGTAAAATAGTCATTAATGTGCACCATAAATCAGATTAACTCATTAAATTGGTTATCATAAATACCATGGTAAATAAATTACCAATGTGAGTCATGGCGGTTATATATCCTTAAATGACACAGTCCCTTCCATGTTCCACAACACTAGTAATCTATTCAACATAGTCTATAAATGAGAAGTATCAATAATGATCTAACAATAATGTCTTTTCCAAGACTATTCCTATTACCACTTATTAAAGCAATACGTACATGTACATTAATTAATAGGAAATATCATAAACACATTTAATCAGCGCAAAATGTCAAATATATATAAGCACTATTTAAGCAATCCACAATTAAAAAATAATCATCATTGACTACATTTAAGACCCATTCTTTCAACATGTTCCATAAATGTCTTAGATGGTAGTCCATTCATTAATGGATTGCAATCATAAGTTGCGTGCTTATAATTTCAATAGACATTCGTTGTTTCTAAATATCTTCTTTAATGATAAAGTATTTCAACTTTAGAATACCTATCATTTTTCATACAAGAAGATCAACAATTGCAACATAAATTTTCAGCAATCTGAAAACGGTACCCATAACTCCAAGTCCTGAAATAAATTCTGCAACCATAAATTATAACCTCAAAGCATGCTACAAATTA